AAATCATAGAATTTATGTTGTTTATCTTATTTTTATATTGAAATAGTGTTTCTGTTGCTGCTATTGGCTTCTCTCAAGTACAACAGAAAGAGACACTACCTGGTTCTGGGTCATCCTCACAACTGTTATTATATTTGAAGCCATTGCTGGCTGCATCACTGTGTCAACAAATCTTGTTGAAGATTTCTTCTTTTTTGCTGGTAAACTCTCTTCTTTGCCAAGAAACTGATGCCTTGTGATAATATGTCCAAAGTACATGAGATGAAGTCTTGCCATCATGCTTCTAAGGAGCCTTCTGGCTGTATTTCTTTCAAGACAGGTTTTTTTTTATTCTTCTGGCTATTGTGTTGTTGTTGTTGGTGACGTCGAGTCGAGTCTTTTCTGACCCATAGCGACCCTCTATAGGGTTTCCAAGGAGCAGTTGGTGAGCTTGAACTGCCAACGTTGCAATTCAAATGAGCTTTCCGACATTAAGCCACAGTACCAGTTCAGCATAATTTCAATATTCTTCACTAACACCACAATTCAATTGCATCAGGTTTTTTTCCAGTGAATATTTCTTATTCACGGTCCAGTGTTTGCACACATGTGAGGCATCTGAAAAAAACTATAACTTGAGTCAGGTGTGCCTTAGTCCTCAAAGTAACATCAGTCCTGGTGTGGCACTGTGGGCTAATCTGTCCAACTGCAAAGTCCTTTGAACTTGCATTTTCTTGTTAATATTTAACATTTGCCCAGCAATATATTATTTGATTTCTTGACTTTTGTTTCCATGAGCATTGATTGTGGATCAAAGAAAAATAAAATCCTTGACAATTTCAATATTTCCTCCCTTTATTTTGTTCATTGGTACAGTTGTGAGGATTTTTGTTTCCTTTATATTGATGTATAATCCATACTGAAGACTGTAGTCTTTGATCTTCATGAGTAAGTGCTTCAATTCCTCTTCATTTTCAGCAAGCAGGGTTGTATCATCTGAATTTTTCAAGTTGCTAATAAGCTTTCCTCCAAATTGAATGCTATGCTTTTTTTTTCATGTAGTATAGTTTCTTGGATTATTTTCTCAGCATACAGTTAGACTAAGTATGATGAAAAGATCCAACGTTCACACACACCTTTCGTGATTTTAAACCATTTAGTATCTCCTTGTTCTGTTCAAATGCCTGTTTCTTGCTCTGTGTACAGGTTCCACAGGAGTACAAATTAGTGTTCTGGAGTTCCTATTCTTCTAAATGTTATCCATAGTTTGGTATGGTCCACACAGACAAATGCCTTTTCATAGTTGATAAAACACAAGTTAACATCTTTCTGGTATTCTCTGCCTTTAGCCAAGATCCATTAAAAATCAGCAATGATAACTTTGGTCCATGCTCTCTTCAGAATCCGTCTTGACTTTCTATTAACTTCTTGTCCATGTACTGCTACAACCGTTTTCAAATAATCTTTAGCAAGATTTTACTAGTATATAAATGATAATTGCTTAAATTAACATATTAATGAGACTGTTCCATATTTTGTGCATTCTGTTGGGTCATAGTTTTTGGAATGAACACAAATATGGATCTTTTCCAGTGGGTTAGCCAGGTAATTGTTTTACAAATTTCCTGGGATATATAAGTAAACCCTTTCAGTGTTGCATCTGTTGTATGAAACATCTCAACAATATTCCATCAATTCTTGGACCCTTGTTTTTTGATAACACCTTCATTATCAAACTCAAGTTCAGCTTGAATCTCTTCCTTCAATACCACTGCTCTTTGCCTTCCCCTATTCCCTGAAATGGAGTTCTGGTGTGGTGCTGTGGGTTAATGTGCTGAACTGCAAAGTCATTTGAATGCAAGGTTGGTGGTTCAAGCTCACCAGTTGCTCCTCAGAAACCCAATATAGGGTTGCAATGGGTGGAAACCAACTCGATGGCAATTAAATAACATCACCCCCTGAAATGGTGGAACGCTGACCAAATTTTCTTGGCACAGAGACTGTATTTCCCCCATCTTCTTTAGATGTTTCCTGCAACATTAAATATTTTGCCCATAGAATTCTTCAGTATTGCAACCTGAGGCTTGGTTTCTTTCTTCAGTTTGTTCAGCGTGTTTAGTTTATTGCTAAGTATGTTTTTCCATTTTGGTTTTCTAACTCCAGGTCTTTACATATTTTATTATAATACTTTATTCTGTATTTTCAACTTGTCCTTTGAAAATTTCTCTTCAGTTCTTTTTCTTCATCATATCTCCCAATTGGATTATGTTTTTTTATGTTCAAGACCAAGTTTCAGAATAACTTCTGTTGCATGTATGTTTCCTGATTTTTTCTCAGGTAATTCCACACCAATGCTGTTAAAATTTATTCTTAATAACACCCTGAGTCCTTAGAGAAAACTTATAAAGATTAACTCTTTGTGCTCACCCAAAGCAGTTCCCATAACCACCTGAGCTGACCTATCTGCTTTGAATTTAAATGGACAAGCAGATCTACTACAAAGCTATGATTTTGATAGGACCTAGCTGTCTGGATCATAATGGCAAATCCAAGACTTGTCTCCCATTACAATTCATTCCATAAAATCATCTTCATTAGCTTCAATCTTGCTTAAAAGATTGATGGAAAGATTAGCACTTTATGCTAGCCACTGGTTGAGTAAAGTTTTAGACACACTTTGACCAAAAGGTTGTTGAGGCTAAGATGTTGACTTAAAATTGAAAATGCTGAGTCATGTGAACTTCAGTGGCTATTACATCAATGGCAATGCTCTGGTCTTCTTCCACGAGTTCAGTCACGGTTTCTTAATTCATCGAAGTTAATAATCTTTCCTCCCTTTGCTCATCTTTGAGGCCTTCCTGAAAGCACTTGGTCCATCTACAAACTGTCATATGTGGCAGCATTCCCATAAAATTATCGGAAAGCTTCAATAATTTAGGAAGCTATCCACTTTCGAATTTTGTTAAAATTTGGTATTATCCCTGACATTATTTTTTTTTCCCTATGGCACAAAAAGTACTCTTTTTTTCTTTTAAGACACCCTAAGGAGTCCTGGTGTGGCACTGTGGGCTAATCTGTCCAACTGCAAAGTCCTTTGAACTGAAAGGTCTGTGGTTCAAGCTCACCAGCTGCTCCTTGGAAACCCTATACAGGGTCCCCATGGGTCAGAATGGACTCGACGGCACTTAATAACAACAACAAGAAGACAAAGACAAGTCTATTACTGACTGAACTTGTCTGCACCCATCTATTATTCACAGAGATATATTTAAACATGTTTTGCTTATAATAAACTGTGCGTGTGTTAGGTAGAACGTTAGTAGTATTTCTTTTTTACTTACCCTTTGTTGTTGTTGTTGTTGTTAAGGGCCATCGAGTCAGTACAGACTCATAGCAACCTTATGCAAAGCATAATGAAACACTGCCCGATCCTGGGCCAACCTCACTACTGTTACCACGCTTGAGTCCATCGATGCTGCCACTTGGCCAATCCATCTCGTTGGGGGTCCCAAACAAGATATCCTTCTATAGCGACTGGTCCCTCCTGACAACATGTCTGAAGTATGAGAGACAAAGTTTGGCCATCCTGGCCTTCAAGGAGCACTCTGGCTGCATATCTTCCAACACAGATCCGTTGGTTCTTTTGGCAGCCCATGGCACTTTCAGTATTCTCCTCTAATACCATAACTCAAAAGCATCAATTCTTTTATGGTCTTCCTTATTCACTGTCCAGCTTTTGCATGCATATGAGGTTATTGAAAATACCATGGCTTGGGTCAGGTGCACCTTAGTCCTCAAGCCGACATTTTTGCTCTTCAACACTTTAAAAAGGTCTTGTGCAGCAGATTTGCCTAATGCAATATGTCGTTTGATTTCTTGACTGCTGCTTCCTAGAGTGTTGGTAGTTAAAAGTGGGTTGTTGTTGTTGTTAAGTGCCGTCAAGTCGGTTCCGACTCATAGCGACCCTGTAAAGAGTTTCTGAGGGTGTAAATCTTTACGGGAGTAGTACTAATATAAAATATGTTAGCAGCAATTGTTGCTAGGTAGTGAAATTACAAATGATATATTTTTTTATGTAGCTCTATTTCTTTTTTTTTTATATAATGGAGTCCTGGTTGGGGCCATAGGATAAGCACTTGACCTCAAGGTTAGTTTGAACCAAAAGGTTGGTGGTTCAAACTCACCAGCCACTCCTTGGAAACACTATACAGGGTCACTGTGAGTTGGAACAGACTCCTTGTCACATAACAACAACAACATTGTTTTCAAATGTTCGTTCATGAATATGTACATACTTGGAATCAGGAATAAAACAACACTGAACACAACAAACAAGCAATGAAACAAACAAAACAATGACCTTAGTGTTGTTTTTGTTGTTAAGTGCTGTCAAGTTGCTTCTGACTCTGCAATTCTGTTGAGGGTTTCTGAGGAGCAGCTGGTGGGTTTGAACTGCTGTCTTTTGGGTTCACAGTCCAGTGCTGATTAACAGTGCCACACCAGAAGCCCAGTCACCTTAATAGAATCGTCAGTGATATAGTTAAATCAGGATGTCCAGATGGAGCTTCATCCATTTGAACCATTGTATCACTGATTTTTGTTCTCTCCCCATGAAAGAGATTTTGCTTTCTTTCAAAATGGCATATGAACTAAATAATAGAAGCTATTCATAGAATTTTATTTTAAAAATCCATTTTTCTATTATTATGGATATGGAAGGTGGTTAAAAGGATGCCAAAATAAATTTAAGAGGAAGACAAGGCTTGTGGCCTGGGTGGTGGTGGCATTTATGGAACCTGGTAGACCAGAACTCATCCTATGAGCGTGTGGGTTTCAAAGTGGATGGTAAATGCTGAGGACTAGATAATGTATTAGTGGGCACAGAAGCATGGCTCTGCAGTAAAGGAGATGTGTTCTATCACAGAAGAAAATTTACATAAGTTCTATAGTTCATGTTTTGTGTCAGCAGCATTTGACCTACATTTTAACATTGTAATTCTCCTTTCTGAATGCTTGATTAGGAAATGCATCGACGACCACAACTGTGATAGACAGCAAAAATGGATCAGTGCCAAAATCCCCTGGAAAAGTTCTGAAAAGGACAGTCACAGAAGACATAGTCACGACATTCAGCTCCCCAGCAGCCTGGCTCCTGGTCATCGCGCTCATAATCACGTGGTCAGCTGTTGCTGTCGTTATGTTTGATTTAGTGGATTACAAAAATTTTTCAGGTAAGACAGCCTAAAATTGTTTTTTAAATTAAAAAAAAACAAAACCATAAACATAAATTCTGTCCCCAGATCTAGCTTTGTTTTTCCTCATCTCATCTTAGTGTGAGAAAAAAAGGACACCAATTTGGTGTCTTAGGGCTCTTCTTGCTCTTCACCTAGTCTCCTTTCAAATATACTCTAATTTGTAGAGCTGAACAAAGGTTGAATGCAGCAGTTTCATAAAGATGATGATTAGAAAACTTGAATATATGTATACTTTTATAAAAACCAACATAAAGACAGAAGAAAATGTATCCACCATTAAACAAAATATAATTAACAGGTTTTACACCTAGCAATGAAAGCAGAGAAACACTAGTCTTAGAAAAAAGAAAACAATTTAAACTATTTTTAGTCCTTCTAACTTCTTGATCCAGGCTTCATTTATACACACAGTCCTCACTTCTCATACCAAACCATTCTATTTTGAATTTCTGAACATAAAGTGGTAAATTTTTTTCCAAAAAAATATTTGCCATGAGATGCTATGCCTTGAATGTCTATGTGACTTTAAGAAGTGGAAGTAAATTATAAACAATACAAATAAGAAAAGACAGATTTTCTTATTGTCTATTCAATTTCTGTGGAGTTCTGGCATGGTGCTGTGGGATAAGCATGTATTGCTAACTGAAAGGTCAATGGTTCAAACTCCCCAGTGACTCCTCAGAAACCCTATATAGGGTAACTATGAGTTGGAGACAACTCAGTAGATCTTAACAACAACATTCAGTCTCTAGGGTGTTGAAAATGGTAACTGAAAAGTTGTCAGTTCCAACTCACCCAGAGGTACTGCTGAAGACAGGTCTGGCAATCTGCTTATGAAAACTCATAGCTGTAAAAATCATATGGAGCAATTTGACTTTGAAGTTGCTGTGAGTTAGAACTGACTCTATGGCAGCCACTGTAACTACCACAAATCCAATATCTGAATCCCTTGTCTTATTTCTTTAAATTGAATTATATTTATATATTTCTACATCAGACTCCTTCTACTGACTTTGAATTCTTTGAGGGCAGAATTAAGCAATCAGGTGCTCAATAAATACTAAATGAATTCATGAGTGGATTTATCATGTACTGCCTTTTGCATCAAACAAAGACATTTTATTACCTCTAAGCGATGCTCTTTCATAGTTGTACTTCCTAGTTTTATTCTCCAGAAGTGGAATTAGGATCCAGAATCTATACATATTACTATGTTGCATTTATATAAACACTCAGGGATCCTTATTTGTCATCTAACTTTGCTCATTTAACAATTTTTTATTGAGTACCTACTGTGTGTACTAGAAAATGGCAATGCCAGTGATATCAAAGTAAATAACAAGTATGAATACCTTAAAGTCATAAACCTATCATTTTGGGGTTATTTGACATCGAGGTGCAATTTAAATGATTTTACTATATGTACTCTTGGTATGGAGGCTAAGTGAGTATCTTGCAATAGGTAGAGATAAATTCCATATGTGCCAACCAAAGCAAAGGTATTTTCCAGCCCTATAAATGACTGTTGTGAATAGGCAATGTTTTTATAGATTATGTAATGTACACTCTTAAAAATGACACAATTGAAGTACCAATAGTATAAAATTATAACGTAGAGTTTTAAGTGAAAAATCGCTGGTTACAGTACTCTAAGAAATTATACTTTCCTTAAGTCAATATCGGTTATAGTATTTCATCAACTTGTTAGCTTTTTAGGATTTAATTTGCTCATTTACAATTGATGCATGTTAAGAATTGCATGCAAATCTAGTAATTGTGAATTTAGTTAATAATTTTCTTAAGTGCAGTACAGAAATTACTGTTGAAAGGGATTTAATAAAATAAGCAGGTACCTAAGATTAGTTTCGATTTTTTAATATTCAATTATTTAAATGCAAGACACAAATAGAAGCTACAGTTGAGCAACCATTGTTTTTGTTGTTAAGTGCTGTCAAGTCGATTCCGACTCACAGCAACCCTGTATAGGTTTCCAAGGAGCAGCTGGTAGTTTTGAACTGCTGACCTTGTGGTTCACAGTCCAGTGCTGATCCTATAGTAACCACTGGACCACTGTGATTTGGTGCTATAGATAATGCCTATGATACTTTTCATTTGATAGGGCAAAAGATAGCTTCTGTATCACCATTATTTTATTTCTGCTTTCAATAAGTGTTTATTGCATCTTTTATGAAAAAATCATATTGTTTCCTATATTTATTAATGACCTAAGCATCCATTTATTCTTTGATTTTAAAAATCAACAGAAACCTGCAAGTCATCTTTGAAGTCTCCACCATTCCTAATTAGTCACTATATTGTATACCTGCTAAACTTTGCATGTCTCATACATTTCCCCATACCTCTCACTGTCACCACCTCCATTGCTGTATCTCAGTCCTTCATTTTCTTTTGAAGGAACTAATGCAGTTACTTCTTGTCTTCACCATATGGTCTATTCTCTTTAACATGGCTCTCAAAGGCCTCTTCAGTCGATATAAATTTGATGAAGTTGCCTTCTCCTAGAACTAACTATAAACTCCTCAGTCCGAGCTTCAAGTCTCTGACTTTGCTTTTCCTTACCTTCCTGATGTTGTTGTTATTGTTGTTAAGAGTCACCAAGTCCACTCCTGTATAGGGTTTCCGAGGAGTGTCTGGTGGATTTGAACCACCAACCTTGTGGTTGAGTCCAGTGTTTATCATACAGCACTGCCACCAGACCAGGACTCCTTCCTGATAGTACTAAGGTACAATGTACTTTTATCTTTTGCTACCTCCACTCAAGGGGTTTTTGTTTTGTTTTTGCTTTTTGGTTTTTCTGCCAGGGTTTAGGAGTCCTGGTGGAATCAAGCTCACGTTCTCCACTGTTAACAGAAAGGTTGACATTTCCATCTGTGGCGGAAATATAAGGCAAACAGCTTCTGTTAAAGAAACTTGCTGCCGCCAAGTTGATTTCAATTCATAGCAACCCTGGAGGATATAATACAATTGCCCCCATAGGATTCCTAAGGTTTTAATCTTAATGAAAGCAGGCTGTCACAACTTTCTACCACAGAGTAGTTAGAGGGTTTGAACTGCTGGCCTCTCAGCAGTCAAGTGCTTAACCACTGCACCACCAGAGCACCATCTCCATAAATATTGCAGCCTTGGAAACTCTATGGGCCAGTTCTATTCTGTCCTGTAGGGTTGCTATGAGATAGAATCAACTTTACAGTAGTGTTTTTGTTGTTGTTTTCTTTATAGCAGAAAGTACAGTATAACAATGTGAACTATGATGCTGGATTTCCCTATTTTTAAATCTGGACTTTATCACTTACTAGCTGTATAGATTTGTAGGATAAGCACTAGACTGCAGGCCAGAATCTCGAAAGTTCTAACCTATCAGCCGATTCCTTGGAAAAAGATGAGATTTTCTGCTCCCGCAAAGATTTATAACCTCAGAAACCCTATACAGAATCTCTATGAGTCAGAACCAACTCAGCGGTAATTAACAACAGTAACAACTTTGGGAAAGTCACTTACCCTCTCCTGTCCTCATTCTCATCATCTATAAAGTGGAGGTAATAGTGTCATTGTAATAGGATTGTTAAAAGGATTACATTAGTAAAACATTTGAAGTTCATAGAAAATGACCTTATTTATCACAAGCATTATGTAAATTTTAATAGGAGTAGAGACTCATTTCTCATTTACCTGTCTATTAAACCACTGACCTTGTGGTTCAAACCAACCTTGCAGTCCAGCATATTAATCCACAACACCACACAAATTTTGAGGCCTGACTATCATTATTTATTTTTCTCTCAGAAAATTATAATTCAATAAATACTCAGATATAAGGAAAAGCCATGTAATACTTCAGGTGATAAAGGGATACTGTCATTACGATTTTGTTGTTGTTGTTGTTAAGTGTCATCTACTCAGTTTTGACTCAGGGACCCTGTATAGGGTGGAGAAGTGGGTGGCTTTGAACTTCCAATTTGTGATTAGTAGTCCAGTATTATCCTACAGTGCAAAACAATGACACTATAATTATAATAGGTAGAAAGGAAAAGATGATGTGTTAAAGCCACAGTCATCACGAGGCCTTTTTAGAAGTTGAAATAATTGTCAATGGATTTTAAATAGAAAAAATAAAATTACAAAGCTTGACATTTAAAGGTGGTATTCATGAATTCTTCATATAAGAAGTTCAAATACTCTTAGCTAATTAAAATTTGAATAATCAGTTTCTAAGAGTAAAAGAATGTAAGTTCAAGGAATCAGTTGATCATACCATAAAACCTGCAACATATATTAATATTTGGTTAGATGAGACACACTAACTCATATTAAGATTCGATGTCCTTTTCTCCATTAAACAAATTCTAGCCTTTTTTAAAATGTTGATTCTTCACTCAAAAACCATTTATTTCAATGAGAGCTTTAAAATTTAAATATTTTAAGTTTTTAACATTCATTTAAACTGACACATTTCAAACTTTATTAAGGATGAATATTATTGTAGTAAGGCTTTTGCACTAGATAATATTCTATGAAACATGCAATTGTTAATGTTATAAAACAAAAGCTAACAGTAGAAGAAAACACATTAGAAATAGTTCTGAAGACCTGAAAGTCAGGGTCAGCCTTTCTTCAGCCTGGAATTACACATTAAATTTTTTGTGACACATTAAAAAATTTGGTAAACACTTTGAAGACATTAAAAATTTATTTTTCAAGAAATAAGCAAATAGTGTACTAGATTGAGACAAAGGATTCTGTTTCATGTAAGCTTCACAATTCTTTATTTTGTGAATTTGAACTGATGTACCCAGATGTAGTCTACTTATGAGGCACAAGTAGAATTTGCTTTTATGTATTTCTTTCAGAAGACTTGAATCATTATATAAATCTACAACCTACACTGTAATAAGACCAAGGAATAATGTTTCCATGTCTGTCATATGGAGACAGTACCTTATTTTCAGGTCTTCAAA